GGAGGGAGGGAGGGAGGCAGGAAGGCAGCTCACCCCTGTCGGAGTCCGAGCGCTCTGAGGAGACGGTGGAGCCGATGCTGTCCATCCGTATCCTCTCAATGCCCAGCTTCTCCAGCTGCCTCTTCAGGTGTCGCTGCTCGCGCTGAAGCTGGTCTATTTGGTGAATGGCTTTCCTGTCACAGTCTTCAAGTTTCTGCAAGTCAAAGGGGCAGTTGTTGGAGCCCACAGGCAGTCCTCTACATCGCCACGGCCCTGTGTCTCCCCTCCCCGCAGTGTAGTATGCCAACTGTCCCCAGAGCCATCTGGTGTGTTGTTCATAAGCTTCTGAGACAGGAAGTCGGCTGGCCAGGGACCATGGGCTTCCTCTGCTTTCAGCGTTGACAAGCTGTGGTCAGTGGCCTGTCACTGGGGTGAGCTCTGACGCTCTGGCATTCCATACCCTTTAATTCTGGAATGGAGAACTGCAGGCAGGGACCCCCAATCTGGTCTCTTTGTCTCAGCGATCCCCTCAACATGTCATCTATCACAACGGCGTGAGATGGGAGCTTCAGAGACATACTTCTATTTAAAATTATGTGTATTCAAGTCCATGCTCCAATTACATGAGTACTTTTTGTGTCATGCCAATTCTCAATTAACTTCTGTTTGTTAGCAGGAAATAACAGTCCCTTTTGAAGTCTTGATTCCAAATTGTCCAACAGAAGAGCTTATAAAACACATTTCCAAAGGCAACTTATTTTTACAAATCTGCCCCCTAGCTTCTCAGATTCTTCAGATAATTAAGGAAAGTGTTTAATTGTAGCTGTTTTGCTTTAAATAGAGGTTCTTTTTCTCCTAGGATTGTCATGTATGGCAGGATACTAGCCATAATTAAAGTGGTATTTGTCCAACCAAGATATGGCTATAAAAACACGCACACTAGCGATTGGGTTGTGGCTCTCCGGAGCTGGAACAACACCCAGCTTACTACGCTTTGGTGTTTGGTCTGGGGACCGAGGGCTAACTCTGGGCCAGACACTGTGAGGTCGAGGGATACAAGGTGGGCAAGAAGACCCAGTCTCCTTTGTGGAATTTGATGATGGAGATGCCCTAAAGTCACATGACCCACTGTCAAATGTGTACTGTGACCAGCCGTCACAGGAAGGAGACCGAGTCAGGAAGATCCAGGGAGGCTTCCGAGCTGGCTGAGATCTGACGGATGAGCAGAACCTAACCAGGCAGAGAAGGGAGAGACAAAGCAGATTGCAGAGCGCACAGCAGGCGCACTGTCTCCGCGGGTAAAGAACAGGACGAGGGCCAGGGGCTGAAGGAAGCTGGAGGGAGGGCAGTGTGTGGCACAGAGGCTGCCACGGGAGGAGGGAAAGGTCAGGTCAGGAGAGCCCGCGGCGGGCCTGGTGACAGTTTATCGTGGGCCACAGAAGAATGTTTGGCAGACTGATGCGTTGATTTGAGCTCTGGCAGGCCTGTTCCTAGGAAATGCGGAGGGACGATCTCTGCGCTGTCAGAGGGACGGAGGGAGGACGGGGAGTGCAGGAAGCCTCTGAGGGGTTCACTGCGGTTGACAGTGGGGTGGTGAAGACAGAAGTAGAGCAGGTTGCAAAATATTTAGGTCTTGGAGATGACTTAGCTCTATGTGGCTAAGAAACCAGAGCTGCCTCGCGTCCCTGAGTTTCTGGCCTGTGTGACCGCATGGAGCGCTGGGTGGACCTTCACCTTCAGGGGCCCAGGGCTGAGAAACACTCAGTGGGGTGCGGGACATGTTGCATCTGAGGTACCTGCGGTTCGCGGAAGAGGCTCAGCGTGCAGAACAGAACTGTCCTAGAGCTACACTGCTGCCTGCAGCCTCTAGCAGACAGGCCCCTCCTAGGCAGGGAAGGTGAAGAGGCATCCCATGCACACTTACCTTTATGTGCAATTTGGCTTTTGTTAACAAACTCAATGTAGTGTGTCGACTGGATTCAGGCCCAAGTGGCACCAACCCCTTCAACTTCTCCAGGCACAAGCGAAGATGAGCCCGCCTACAAAACAAGACCACGCAGCGCATGAGGATTTCACACAGGGCTAGAACCGCCCAGTTAAGAGAGCTCCTAAAAGGGTATGAAGTGGCCCAGCCCCGGCAACTGCAGATGCTACCAATGACCTTTTGCCCCATAAACACAGTTTGAAGCCAGCTGGCTGTGGGGACAACCAGTGAGAAGTAAAATCTAGAAGTTCTAAGTTAGGTCTATTTGTAACACAAGTGTTGAGATAAGGAAATAATACCCGAGCTTTGTATTAGTACATTTATCAGGGTTTGTTCTCTGTTTCTTATTTACACTGTAAACCAGAGAACATCCAAATCAGAAAATAAATGACATGCCATGGGATACTTCTTTTAACTCTTATTTTTCTTTGTAAGCGATCCCATCCAAAACCGCTATATCACGACATCACTGCTGTGTACAGTATTTACAAGTGAGAATGACGTATGTGTACAGTTAGCCATTGAGGCTTTATTTGTAATAGCAAAAATAGAAATGACCCAGGAACTGGCTAAACACATTATGTTACCTCCACACAGTGGAATACTACGTGGCTGTAAAAAAGAGTGAAGATGTGCTCTATGTCCTGTTGGGAAGGATCTCTGAGATACACTGTGAAATGAAGAAACGCGCGGTAGCTGACCGTGATTACAATGTGCTACTTTCGAGTAAAAGTGGAGGTAAAATGAGAGCCTCTATCTGCGTTTTCTTGTATGTACACAAACGAATCGGACTGATTCACAAGAAACTCGTGACAGTGGCTGGGAGGAGAGACAGAGAAGGAGCAGACAAGGAAGAAGGGAAGAACTTTTGGTTTTCCAACTGGGTAAACCTACTGCTATTCAAAAGTTAAAATTTTTCTAAATAAGCGAACGGTGCATCATTGTGCTGCTGTACTAGAAAGATGCTGATCAGCTGGGGACAGCCACCTCGAGGTGCAGGAAAGTGGCCAAGCAGCACGGTGGGGCAGGGTGGGACAGCGACAAAGGCGGGATGAGGAGGGAGCCAGAGCCACCCTCTCAGGAGTCTTTCCTCAGAGGGACCAGAAGCACGAGTCCTCACAGTTTTGGAATCTGTACTTCACTGACACCTTGGCTTGGGTTTTATTCCAGGATCTAGCAGGTTCCTTGAACGTGAGAAACAGCAAATATTCAGTTTTTGCTTCAGCCCACTGCCCCTACAATGCCTTCTCAAGCCATTCCAGACCACAGCGATCTCTCCACTTCCACTGTTCCCTGCGAAGCTCACTGTACTGCCTGTCTTGTTTGGCATCTGTCACTGAACCATTCAGCACAAACTCCTTCAAAAGTTGGGGCACCAGCTTCATCACCGCTGGGGAGCCACAGAGCCCCCAGCACACACGCGCTTCACAAGTGTTTCCTGATGGACTCTCAGCTGCTCAACTAGGCCGTAAGCTCCCAGAGGAGAGTCCGTCTTCACTACATCGCTGCACCTTCGGCCACGCTCAGTCTTAGGGCTGCAGAGCCACGCCCATTCCACGACAACTCCCAGGGCAGAGCTCCCTCGGATGATATTCTCCGGCTGACTAGGAAAAAGTGCAATGCCTATGGCTTGCCCTCTTTTTCTCTTAAGAATGTTAGCATATGAGCAAAAGTTGGCAATGCAGATTAAAAGAGGAAAGCCTCATCAGAAAACTGGAGGACAGGCAAACGGGTATGATGCTGGCCTAGGAAGTCACACACTGTCCACCAAGGCTTGGCATGTTCCCTCAAGTTCGGTCTAGTAAGTGCTGGTTACTCATTCTTCTGAGGCACCTGCCTAGTCCAGATCATGAGGAAACTGTCCTCTAAAGACCTTCCAAAGGCCTTTAAGCTTTGACACGTTAGAAGAGGACATATTCATTTCTGAGCTAGAAAGACACGAAGGCACGAATGTTTTACCCCTCTGTAAGACTCCCACCTGCTCTGAAAGCTCATCTGTGTGAAAGAGCCACAAGCAAAAATGCACATGAGCAGGCTGCTACCCCACTAGTGCACCAGGGAAAAGACACAAGCAGCAGCTGTGTGTAAAATGTTCATTTTGGGTAACTGTCTGCGAAATGAGCCATGAAAATACATCATGACATTGGAAACGCAAAGTGTAACTAGTCACTTAGACAGTAAAACAAGTGACAGTCTCACGTATATTCTCCCCAGCTAAGGTCTGTAGACTAATTTTCAAATTAGGAGAAACAGTTTACAAATTAAAATTATATTTAGACAGGGCCAGGGATATAGCTCAGTGGCATAAGTGCTTGCCTGGCAAGCCTGAGGTCATGAGTTCGATTCCCGGTACCAAAAAAAACCCCACTATATTTAGACATTTTGAGCCTCCTTTGCTTATGACTCTGAGCTCATAAGGACTAACCTTATTAGTCCTTTTGTGATGTGGGTTTATATACAGATAGGAGTACATACATTTTTAGGAAGTTTGTCTACTGATAAAAATATTAAAAAGTCATCTTTTGATGCACTGTCATGTCTAGTTACACAAAGTGTTCCCCAGAAAGCACTAGTTTTACTACCCAAAAGCAAGTTTTCAAATAACACCTGCATTGTGAAACTAGGACTAAACCTTTTAACTAATTCAAAGTGAGGGTAATACCTGTTCATTCAGTATTTCCTGGCCTAGTTCTACAAAACTAAGACTAGAGCTTTTCCTGAATTTTCAGAGATCCAGAGTCAGCTTCTGTCTCTGTCAGCGTCTGCCTGGGGCTTCTCCAGTGCCTTGGTGCTCCGGTCTGATGGCTGTCCCACCCACACGCCCGGCCTGGCCAACCACAGGGCGAGGCTGCAGTAGTTTAAGCCGGCTCAGCGCCATCTTAGCGTAGTGAAACTCCACCCCTGCACTGGATATAAAAGCAAACAGCTGCCTCTAGAACAGCTTCCACTGAGAGTCCTCAACCCTGTCTCTGTCTGCCTCCATCCTGGAGTCTGGACTCCTTCACCCAGCCCGGAACACCCACGGAGTTCCCAGGTTCAAAACCAGTAGAAGATGCACCTGCCTCATCTCTCCCTTCTCAGCCCCTGTTCCATTCTGACCCGGGCCTAACTCCTCTTGGGGAAGCAGCAGGGTTTTTGCCACATACCCTCAACAGGAAGCCACCTAACACCTCACTCTGTCCCCTCCCCGTGGATCTCCTCCACCACACCTTCATGGGACAGTCCTCCTCCTGCGCAAGAGCTGTCCTCCAGCTTCCGGCCCAGCAGAAGTGGCTGTGCCCAGCGCTGTTTAGTTAGTGCTGATCTGTCCTGCTTTGTGCCCAGGTTATGAACTTTGACAAACTGCACCCACTGCTCTTCAGAATGACTGCTTTAATTATTACGTATATGGATGACACATATTTGGTCTGTACTAGAGAAAGAAAACTAATCTTTCACCTGAACTGTAATCAGCAGTGCTCCTAGTCAAGTGTGGCCTGTAACTGGTGACAGTTCATTCTGAACTATATATTCTCTTCAGTAAGTTTTTTAAAGGATCCTACATTTTATTTATTTTATTACTTTTTTTTTTTTTCTTTTTTTTCTTTTTTGAGACAGGGTCTCGCTCTGCAGTTCAGGCTGGCCTTGAGCTCACTTTGTAGCCCAGGCTGGTCTTGAACTCACAACAACCCTCCTGCCTCAGCCTCCCGAGTGCTGGGATGACAGGTGTGAGCCACCACGCCCGGCTTTTATTACTATTTTAAATATTCTAAAGCTACGTCACTATATCACCCACTACTAGCACAGTGATGAAGAGTCAAGGTGTGGGATCGTGGCCCAGCCACTCACTCCTGTGTGACCCCGGGGAAACTGCTTTGCTCTGTGTTGTATCCGTTTCCCACGTGAAGAAGACACTCGCCTGGGGGGCGGCCACTGTGCATATGCACGGAGAAAGGCACAGAAGCTCCTCCCAGCCCCCTATACAGCTGCAGTTGTTTGTTCAATCCTAGCTTCCTTTGCAGCAGGATAATCACTGTGGGCAACCCAGATGATCGTAACACTATAATATTCCCTTAAAAATCAGCAGGGAACTCAGAAGTGTCTTGCTAGACAGAGAGACACTATCTGTTCAAATTCAATCCACTGAACTGTTACTTAACGAAAACTGACGTCTTTTGTCATTAATACATTTAATGGAAGCTAGGCTCTTCTTTCTATGGAAGTATAGATACTGTTTATGCTAAAGGTACTATTTCTTTTTTTTAACGTGTAAAAACATCAGCAAAGGGTTCATAATGTTAATGAATGCAAAGGGCAGACTGCTCTGCAGCACTCACACCATGTGGAAGCAGCAGCGGCAGAAAGGACGTCGAGGTCAGGAAGGAAGCACAGGCCGCCCTTCCGCATCCCCAGGAGCGAAGGTTCCGGGGGCCTGGGCCCTCCTAGGCCTCTACTGCAGCGGCCACTGAGAAGTGAAAAGAGGTGTGAATGGGAGGGGGAGCACACGCAGAAAACTTAAAACCTTGCACAGCAGGAGCAAAGTATAGCATGTTTAGTAGCAAACCTGAAACAACTTGGGAAGGCTTTGTGGGAAGAAAGCTATAAAATGCTGCAGAAGGACAGAAGAAAATCTGAGCAAATGGAAAACGGCACATTCCTGCCTATGAACCCTCAGAATGAAAATGTCAACGTTCCCCAAGTTTGTCCACAAATTAACGTACTTCCAAGAAAGCTAAATCCCAGCAGTACTCTTTTTAATGCTAGGAAATTAGTCTAGACCTCATCTGGAGGAGTAACTGTGTGAGACACTGCCAACATTTCTGGAAAAGAAGGATAATGAAGAGGAATGTGCCATACCAGATATTAAATTATATTATAAAGCTTCAGTAATTAAAAACAATACGATCCTAATACCGCACAGAAAAGAATACAACTCCCAGAAACAGACCTAAGAATAGAGATGAGTTTAACACACAACTGAGATAACACTGTAAATCCTTGCAGGGGGAAATTGTTGCTCAGAAACGGCAAAGGAGTTCGGAGGTGAACATTCAAGTAAATTCCAAACAAATACAT